ATTGAATGGCATGTTTTGCATAAGAAAAGGAAAATATAATTCAGTGGCAAGATGTATAAACCATCTGAGAGTGTAAAGGTGCTCACCGTACCAGCCCTGCTGCTGGTGCTCAGACAAGCTCAAGTTGAGAGAGGAGAGTTTCGGTGAACTCATACAGAAGTTACTGGTTAGAAACATTTTTGCCTTTGCAGTGACTGAGCAGTAGAAGTAAGTATCACTGAACCAACTGTGTGTTCATTAATTTAGGGATCAGTCAGAGGACATTCTTTGCAAATTTCAGCAGAGAATGGTGTTCCCTGGAGAGCGGTTCAACCGCATTGGCGAGTTTCACCACGTTGGCCCACTGACAGGCCTGAGTTCTGGGCTTTCTCTTGTGATTACAGCAGGAGCACAGTGTGGTTTCTGCCCTCAAAACGCCCAGAATCCAGAGACTTAGAAGCAACTGCCATATCACCCCTAATGTTTGATAACTGAGGCATCTACACTGGACCCAGAGTATAAGAGCAGTGGTCCACTCTTTGAATGTGTGAGGGACTGGGTGATAACCTGAGCTGATCTTGGAAAGGCGTAGCTTTTATGGAGGGTGTTAAGTGGAATGTAGGGAGGAACGAACATCTGCTGAAGTACACAGAGGGGAGGGACCAGGATCCTCGCCTGGATGAGTGCAGTCCAGAAGAATCCTTCCCACTGCATTTATCATCTTCAGGTGGGGAAGAGTAAACAGACAGGGACTGTGCTTTTAGGACCATTAGTGAACGTCCACGAACCTACTTACTGACTTGTCTTGGTAAAGGTTCGGCTGCTGCCACCGTGATGACTCCACAGCCCAGCCAAGCATCAGAAGCACCCAGAGGAACCATTTAAATTCCAGGTTTCCAGCACATTAGCTGTAGAAAAACAAAGTCTGGGGGAGAGCCCTGGGAGGGAAGGTACTTGAATTTCTCCTGTTGGTTTTGCCAGTGCAGGCTGAGGTTCTTTGCAGTGACTTGATCTGAAAGGCGCACAGTCAGGTTTCCATGGGGTGGGGGTGGGGGCTGCCACCAACTCTGCCTCCTGTGGAAGGCGCTGCACAGCTCGGGAAATTGCCTGCTGCTGTTCCGGTAGAGGTGAAAGCCAGTGAAAACTATCATGGGGCACCCTTGAGAGGAAGCAGGTGTGGTGGAACACTACGGAGAAATCTGGAATATAGATCTGGTCAGCCTAAGGAAGTTGGCCTGAGAACCCCATTTCATGTAAAAATTGTTGTGGACCCAAAGAACTTTTGTTCATCTCGCAGTATTTACTGCACCAGAGACTAGAAAAAAACACTTTATGAAAAAGCAGGTGTTTTCAAAATGAAATAAAAAACCAGAATGACATTAACAGTTGAAAATGTTTCCTTAATATCCGGCTTAATAATCACGTTCAGTTCGTTCCAGGTCACATGTTATATGGCTTCTGGAAAAGAGCTTTGCATTCATGAGGGAAAGAGAGGGAAAAAGCGGAGTATCTCGGTATTATGAAAATGGCTTAGACTTTGCAGATACCCTGAGACAATCTTGTGACCCTCCACCAGGCATTCCCAGACCACAATAGGAGGCTGAATGTGTGCTTCCTCTTCAGGCCACCAGCACACAACCTCCCTGTTCCTGCCACGTGCACACCCTTGCCCGTGCATACACATACAGGCACTCCCTAGGAGTCTCACAGTGACCGTGTGGCCTCTGCAAAATGTAGCATCGGAGGGGGTCACTGTAGTGTCTCCTTTTATGAATTACTCCATTTGAAGCAGGTTTTGAATGAACTTAAGGAAGGCAGTTAAGTGTTGAATGAATAAATGTTCAGCGTTTTTGCACAGTGTACTCCAGTATGCTAGTTTATGAGCACCTTTGCAGTCAACCATTTGGAGTATAAATATTTCCAAATAATTTCTAATATATGCAAGTTGATATTTCCAATCAAGGATAGGCATGAGGAGGCAGGGTAGACAGGGAAAGGGAACTGTTCGTCAAAGGATACACTGTTTCAGATAGGAGGAATAAGTTCTGGTGACCTTTCTTATGGCATGGGGACTATAGTTAATAATCATGATTGTATTTTAAAACTGCTAAAAGCTTTTAAAGTTCTCACCACAAAAAAAATGGGTATATTTGACAATGATTACATTGAGTAGGGTGATTTAATCATTCTACAATGTATGCATGCATCCTAATATCACGTTGTAGCTCATAAATGTATACAGTTATTGTGTGACAGTTTTTAAAAAAGGCTAGCACTGGATACTGATTCAGATCTTGGACTGTGGATCCAGAAAACTCTATCTGAAGCCCAGTACTAGGAGGGATTTGGGCAAATCACTGAGCCCCACACAGCCTCAGTTTCCCCATGTTTTCAATGAGAATACTCACAAGAAAATGTCACAATTCCTTATCTTCATTCTCCAAATTCAGATAATTCTGAAAGTAGAAGAAGAATTTGCAATTCATTGAACAGCAAAATCTGATGTGAGCTCATGTTCCGCAGAACCTGGCCTGAACTGGCACTGTGCTTTTTCCATGTCCCTTGGCAACAGGACTATTCATATGTGTTCCTGCACCCAGTGGATGTTTGATATGGAGTACTGCGCTATATTCTGCCCATCTTGGTGTGTTAGTCAGCTTGTGGTTACTGTGTAACCTTCACCTGATAGGAGCTACTTAGGAAGCGGCGTTTATTTCAGTGTACGTCCCAGGCTGGGTGTCCCATTGGCTCAGGCATCTGGTGAGGGCAGAGGACGGCTGAGGGAGGGTCACATGGCCAGCCAGGAAGCGGAGGCAGAACAGCTGGGCTGATAGATGATGAACCCTCTCACCAGACTTACCCCCATGTCCTGAAGCACTCTTGCTAGGCCCACCTCCTGGATGCCATAATTGGATCAAGCCTCTTCACTCATCGCCTATCAGCCATTAACATTAATACATCAATCATTATGTGAGATGTTAACATTTAAGCATCTTTCTGAATTGAGAGCCACATCTTGGTCAAACCAGAAGAGCTGGTCTATTTTCTGTGAATGTTCCATAGTCTATACACCTGCATTCCAACATGCCTATGTCCCAAGGACTCTGGCTAAGAGGTTGCACATAGTTACTACTGCATCAAGATTAAATAGGTATATATTTATATTTACATAGAAGTTTATATTATATATATCTATCTTATAAGATATATAAATATATAATTATGTATTTCTATGTGTCCAAGATACAGTGTCTGGCACATAGTGCCATTTAAGATTTTGTTACACTGGATGTTTTTTTCTGCATAAGTATGAAAACAATTGAATAGAAAACCAAGCACTTATTTTAACATTTCCATTTATGTAAGAAGCTGGGTTTTTTCATTGTTGCTTTGAGCTATGGGGGAAAAAATGGCAAGTTGCCATTTCCCTACTTTGCATTGGGGGAAATTTATAATTGGTGGGTGAAATAATTCACTGCTTTTCTGTATCCCTTTCGTTATTAGGAAGACTGTTGGGATGCAGGCACTTCAGACTTAGCCACTGCATTGATTTTTCCTGAGTGCCTGTTGTGTGCCTGACATTGCTGGACCCTAGTGGTGTATCAGCAGATAAACCCAAGTCTACATGGGCTAGTGGGAGAGAAATACTCAAACCAGGTGTTGTGCTAAATATGAGTTCTAAAGGAATCAACCCAGTAATACCTTCTAATTACGATTGATCAAGTACAGGGCTCCCAGTTAAATATGATTAGCCCTTTCATGTACTTAAATCCCAATTACTGCATAGGGTGCACTTAACACTAAATGCAATGTTTGTTACATATAATATTGGAACATTCCTAGAAGCAAAAGGATATTTGCTGCTTAATGTGAAATTCACATTTAGCTGGGAATTCTGTACTTTTATTTGCCAGATGCAATGGTCCTCCTTATTATCCTGGCTGTTTACAGCCACATGGTCAAGGTCTGAGGAGGAAATAGATATGCTTAGATTGGGAAACTGGAGACTTAGAAGGGACTCTTTACAAAGAGCTGGGCCGAGGAAAGGGAGCCCCACTAGGACCTGTGATGCACACAGGCCTGGCCGAGGTTACTGATCCAAAGCCTGGGGTAGGGGGTCCTCGGTGAGCCCTGCGGCTGCATGGAGTGAGCTGATCTCAGCCAGCAGAGACCTGCCCGGGAAAGGCAAAACAGAGTGCCGCTCTGCACCTTGCCAGCCTCACCGTGCTCTTGGCCTCCAGTCTCCGAGAGTGCCCCGTCCCTACCTGCCTGTTGTGCATGGCTCCGGCTGGGAGAGAGCCTGCCAAGGCAGACAGGAAGGAGCTGGCCCAGCTGTGTCGTGACCGAGGGACAGGACGGCTTCTCTGTTACATCAGCGAGAAGCCAGGCAGGATGGAGACAGCGGAGCAGAGGGGGCAAGGGAGAAGGCAGAGCGTGCATCTGAACCTTGAAGCTCAAGGGGTGGGGGTGGAAGCAAATCCTCTCCTCCAGTGATTCTGATCATGAGTAACCTTGCCCCTGCCAGGTACTGATATTCTTCCTCTTGGGAATAACTACCACAATTTCTTGTAGCCACTTAACTGAACGCGGGCAACTCGGCACCCATCTGGTGCCACGGCTCTGATTGATCCTGCAAGAGCCCCAGAGGGGAGCATTTGTTTGAAGTCTCTGCCCTCAAAGACATCTCGATTGAAAATGCTCGGTGATGTAGTGATACTCATGAGCTGAAGCGAAGGTGAAGATGACAAGGGAATTAGGGCTACTGGGCCCTCTCTGGGATGTGGACTCCTTCCTCGGGGCTCTTCACATCAGTGCCACCCAAGCCCCTGAGAGTGGGCTCCCGAGTGGGTGGGACACTGCAGCCAGTTAGCAGTGTGTAAATGCAAACTCATTTCCACACACTGGGCATGGCCCTTCTCTTTAGAAGCGCACTGCAGGCTGCGTGGCTTGGGGAGGGAGTCCCTCCTTGTCTGTGCCTGCCCCCGAGCTGACTCCTGTTCCCTCTCCCATTGCACTTCCAGTTCCCCAGGCAAGGCTTGCAGCAGACACAGCAGCAGCAGCAGACGGCAGCCCTGGTGCGGCAGCTCCAGAAGCAGCTTTCTAGTAAGTACCACGCCCTTCTTGGGACAGATGGCCCCTGGGGAGTCCAGGCAAGCAAGCAGCATGCGAGTGGTGCCATCTCCCATTTGGCTCAGTCCTGGATGTTTCTGTTTTGTCTTGGTCTGACTTGGTTTTGGCTTGAATGCTTTTTTCCTGGAAAATCCCCCATCTGTCTCAGATTTAGCGAGGATGTTTCCTCTGGATTCCATCTGAACCTGGATGTGTTTCATTCCATTCAGGAGAACCCTGCAGAACCACAGGTGTGCTTTTTAGAAAGCTGCAGGGCTCAGGCAGCGCCCCAGGAGATAGCTTTAATGTTAGAGGTGAATGAGAGCAGGTTGTCCCCTGCCCCGTCTGCCGGCTCTCAGAGCCAGGAAGCCCAGGACCACGCTGCTCTCTGTGTCGCACCACACTCCCCTTCCTGATGACCATGGCTCAGGGAAATCAGAGCTGCAGCCTCACAGCCAGGCGGGGCCGTGCTTCTGCTCTACTGGGGTGGTTTCTCTAGTCAGTTGCGCTGCTCTGGTAGATACAGCACATGCCAGCAGCCATTCATGCATTCACGACCTTGATGCCCGCTGAGTGTACCCGTGATTCCAGTCACCCCAGCTCCGGAGCCACAGGATGGGAGGGAGACCGCTCTCCTCTGGGTCTCGGATGCTTCGCTTCAGTGTGTGCTGAAGGCAGTGGCTTGCAGGCCAGCAGGTCTGCTAGCCTGCTCATCTTTTAAAGATCTAGGTTGGTTTGTACCTGAGGGGCCACTTGCTTTTAGTCTTGATTTTCTGCCTGCTGCTGTGTGGCTGATTTCCTGCACGGTGGGCTCTGTGTATGTTTACAACTTTGTTTCTTTAAAAGTATTTCTCTCTTAAAAGCTCATTCAAGTCAAATAAGCCAATCTTGTTTTCTAGCTACTGTTGAATATGTTTGGCCTCTTAAATAAATTTGTAACTAAAATTTCATTGGATTTCCATAGTTCATATCCTTGCAGAGAATTTAATTTTAAGCCACAGATTATTTCCAGGTATTTACAAATGGGTGCCTATGATTTTTATATACTAGCACTTATTTGGGGAGCGTGTCTACCCTTAATTTCCAAGAGCTTGAAGAAGTATCCTTTGTTTTTAAAGGTTATTTATTTGAGGCAGAGGGGGAGAGAGTGAGGGAGGGAAGGAAGAAGGGAAGAAGTGAGCAGAGAAGAGGGGAGAAGAGAGAGATCTTCCATTTCCTAGTTCATTCCCCAAGTGGCCACAATAGCCAGGACCGGGCCAGACAAAAGCCAGTAGCCGTGAACTTCATCCTGGTCTCCCACGTGGGTGGCAGAGGCCCAAGCACTTGGGCCATCATTCACTGCCTTTCCAGGAAGCTAGATTGGAAGTGGAGCATCCAGGACTTGAACCAGTGCTCTGGTATGGGATGCTGGTGTTTTTTTTTGGTGGTGGTGTGTTTTTTTTTTTTTTTTTTTTTGACAGGCAGAGTGGACAGTGAGAGAGAGAGAGACAGAGAGAAAGGTCTTCCTTTGCTGTTGGTTCACCCTCCAATGGCCGCCCTGGCCGCCGCGCTGCAGCTGGCGCACCGCGCTGATCCGATGGCAGGAGCCAGGTACTTATCCTGGTCTCCCATGGGGTGCAGGGCCTACTGCACTCCCTGGCCACAGCAGAGAGCTGGCCTGGAAGAGGGGCAACCGGGACAGAATCCGGCGCCCCGACCGGGACTAGAACCCAGGGTGCCGGCGCCTCAAGGTGGAGGATTAGCCTAGTGAGCCACAGCGCCGGCTGTGGATGCTGGTGTTTTAAGTGGTGACTTAACCCTCTGTGCCACAAAGCCAGCCCCTAAGCATCAGTGGTTTAGGCTTTCACTTCTAGAACATTTTCTTCATTTTTTTGGAGGAATTTATTAAGGTTATTCAACCAACAGTAAGGAATAGAGCTGCGAGTTAAGCTCAGATGGGCTCTTCCAGAGCTCACTTCTTGACCACAGTATTCATGAGGGCTTCAAAAAGTGTGGATAATATGTTGAATTAAAAGATAAATTTTAGCACAAAAGGTTTGTAAATGCATGCAATACAAGGGGTCATCAAAAAGTTCACAAAAATGTATTCATAAAAAACTATGCATAGATGTAAAATATTGTCAGCCCTGAGAGCTCATTTATAATAAGCCTCCTGTCAGTGGCCAGAGCTCTGTATTTTCTTCTGTCATGGTCAAAAGGTGCTGAAAATGAATAATTGAATAATGCAATTATGCAAGCAGTAGCTTTTCTAAGCCTGTGTCATTTTGTTGGTATCTCCAGACTATTTTTGCTGTTTGTGCATGTGAACGCGTGTATGCATGCATACATGGATAGGCCCACAATTGAGTCAACCCACACATAGACACTCGCATGGCAGCCACTGTCACACTTGCGTGTACCCTTGCATAGTTCTCTATCGTGGGGCCATTTGCAGAAATTTGTTGACTTCCAACATATTATTTTCTCTTACCTATTATGGTGCTGTGTTAAAGCAGACTTGCTGACTTTATAAATATTTGGAGGAATTTTGGTTTTTATGAAACTCTTAGTGTTGAGTTAGTGTTGGAGGTATTTCTTACTTCGGAGGGTGGGCCAATTATCCTAATGTGGATGCCTTGTGTTTTTGATTAAATGGGATGTAGGGTTGGTCCCTGTGTTAGGTAAATTCAGAGGCAGTACCTGAATCCTCCCCTATGGTCCTAGAAGACTAGGATTGTGCTCAAGGGGCTGTGGATCTGTTCCCTCTGCCTGGGGCTATTAGTAGAGTGACACTGAGAGAATAGCACTTATCTGTAGCATCATTTTGCAGCTATAACCGTCCTTCTCTGGATTTTTCTCATTAGGTAACCAGCCACAGCAAGGAGTGACTCCCTATGGGCATCCTTCACATTTCTGAATCTGGAAGAGGAGAAACATGAACTTTTATGTTTGCACTGGAAAATAGAAAATCATATTTAATGTATTAGACATCCTTAGACATGTCTCTTTGTTCTCTTTTAATTTTACGCTACACTTCATACAGAGGTACTTGAACGGAAAATGGAGGGGGAGTTGTGGTTTGGTTTTGTCTCATTCAGGACTAACGTAGGCTGAGGGGCATGGGTCATGCAGGCCTACTCCAGGAGGAATGTGCTAGCAGACCTTGGAGACTCGGTGCTTTTTCTTGAATCACCCATTTATAGAGAGAATGAGATGGTGGGTTTAACTCTTTGTGTGCTCATTAATGATGAAGTTTGTTTCTTCCAAACTGGGTGGACCAAACTACTGATCTGAACAGCATGTTAGATCTTGGCAGGAAAAGTGGCCTGAGCATTCTGCTTCAACCTGTGATGGTGACGTGGGTGTTGATTAGCATCACTCTAATTTGAAATGTTCAAAATGTTCACAAGCACTTTATCAACTTTGTTCTTATTTATGTAGGACTTTTCTTTGCTTCTGTCATGGTCAAAAGGTGCTGAAACAGATGGTTGCTTAGTACTCAAACTTTCTTAATCCAAGGCTCCTGGGAGCACCACCCTGCGAAGTGTGGGAGCCTCTCGGGTCCAGCTGAGCGGACTTGTTTCCATTGCTGAGGGCGATGGCCTTAGCCTTTGTGGGGTGAAACATGTAAATTCTAAAGGCCTGAAGGAACCACGGTGGAATCGTCCCATTTATTTATTGCCAGTTTTGGCAAAAATGACTGTGTCCAGTTTTGGTTCTCCTGAATCTTATGCCAATTTGGAGGGGGTGGGGGGGCGAATTGTGCGACTGGCTTGAGATTCCACAGTGTCCTAACTTGACATGGGTTCCAGAGACTCTGGCCCTGAAGTCCAGAAGGTTCTGGTTTTCATAAAAGGTGTATTTGCTGTTTATTTTGTATGGTAAGTATTTGCTATTTTGAATTTAATTATCAATGTTGGTGTCAGTCTTGGGTTGTGTATTGCATATACTGTATTTATAAATTGGTGCAAAAAGCACAAGTAAAGTAAATTATACATCAAATTTATTATAAAGAAATAGTAACTATTTTAACTTTGTTCAAGTATGTGGTAATTTGCTCCTATTAAAGTATAAAAATACAGTAAATTATTATCAGTTTGTGTAACTTAAGAGTATTCCATATAATATTTTTTTAGATTTAGATGCATAAAATTTTGAATGTGAAAATTGCAGGGCATTTGAAAACATATGTGGGGGATATTTTCCCATGTTCTGTGTTTTTTCTTTGGCCATATGATTTTACATATAACGTAGTTTAAGCAGACTGTGAATAGATTTGTCTATAATAAGCAAACCACATAGAACTACTTTTTTTAAATGTAGCTGGTATAACTTTAGTAGACAATTTCTTTTGCAAATCATTATATGAATAATTTATATCTTCCTAGGTGAGTTACTTATTGCAAAGTTTGACTCATGCAAATGACCTCAAATACATGTCAGCTTACTTTGCTGTGGCAACATCCATGTGAAACTGCTTTGTACACTGTGAAGAGATTTCCCTCCAGCCTGCTCATTTTGTGTTGACTCTGGGCTGGCAAAGACTTTGCCAAAACATTAAAGACCATTCTTTTCACTAAATTAACGTCCTATCTGCTTTCAGAAGATGTATCTTTATGTTTCAACAGGTTTTGTACATCAGGTTTGTTTGTTTGTTTGATCTCTTGAAAATCACACTTAGAAGTCAAGAAGTTATTTTTCTTCAAAGTAATATATCCATATAATGACTGCATTGACAAAACATCCGAAATGTGAATGATGTGCCTAGTGAGTGAGCTGTGTCCTTCCTTTTTATTGTTTTATTTTAAGACTTACTGGTGTTGAAAATGTGAGTTTTCAGCTTGAACCATTTTTTTGTAGCTCAGACAGCAGTCATACTGTTGTTTCATGAGGGAGTGTTATCATTGCAGAACATTGGTATGCACTTTATATTTTACAGAAGTTAAATTCTTAATCACTTTGCACATAAAAGCTGTGGGGTAGACTTTTGTTGTGTTCTTTTCAGGTGAGGAAGTTGAGTCATTGCGAGGCCCTAGATTCCCAAGTTTCAGTGGATCGTTGAGGAAGAACCTAAAAGTTGTTTTCCCCCTATTCATTAAAGAGAAAGTAACTGGAATTTTTAATTGAAATTCTCTCCCACTTAATGCTCTTTCTGAGCAGCTTTTCTTTTCTAGAAAATGAATTTATATTAAGATGGTCAGGACAGAAAGCCCTTGGCAGAATTTGTGTGGCGAAGAAATTTTCTTGACACTAGACGGAGACCGCAGCTCCTGTTACGGACAGACCCTTGAAGTCTCACGGAGTTGGGAATACTAGCTCAATTCTTGTACATAAGAAGCTCTGAGGTGTACCTGTTTACATTATAGGGTTGCATCTGTCATCTGTACACCCTTCTTGGCCCACAAAGGTAGGAAGGTCACTTTAGAGTAGCCTTTGACCTCTTCCAGCCACAGGGTGTTAGCAGAGTTTAGTAGCAATCATGTCACCGCTTAGGTGAGGCCAGCTGAAAGCTGGGGTGATGGAAACAAGGCAGCTCTCCTCTGTGTCTCAAATGATAGGCACGGGCTTACAAAGCTCTTGACTTTGTGGACCTAGGTAGCTGAACGATACCTATGGAATTCTTTTTCATTTTTCAAGTTTCTATAATTTTTTAAATAGGCAAATGTTTTTGGTAGATGGAGAAATTACACTAGAAAATCCCAGGCTCTAGAATTAGGAGAGAGGAATCATATGGTGTCCCACAAATTATTTCAGGTTGATTAAGCATGTAATACAAAGACTTTCAGTGAATTGCAAAACATGTTGTGTGGGGTTGATCAGATTTTAAATACAGTGAAACTTCATTATATATAACAGATCTAGACTCCCCTTTTCTTGTTGCATAAATTATTTAATGAAATAAAATGCTTATAAAGCAATGATTCCTCCTTGGAAAATTTTCTTATGAACGCCTCCAAACCAGGGGTGCCTGAGCTAGATTTTAAAGCTATAAAGGAGTTTCATTGTATTTTTAAACCTTTTTAATGGTGTATTTGGATAATGACATAATCGACCCCTTTTCCACCTTTTATGATGTGCAGGTGTTAAGTTGCTTTTTACATGTGGAAAAGTTAGCCTGCATTTGTTTTTAAATGCAGCTATTAAAGCATTTTTGTATTCTCCATCAATGAAAATTTTCAGTGTGAACAAATGACGAGTCATAAACCAATTGAGTGCTTATTTTCTGTAGATCTTAGCAATATTTATAAACCAACCACAAAAAGTTTATACATCAAGATGGTAAATTTCCATAAAGACTGCAAGTTAATCTTTTCCCACTGTCGCTGTTCCGAGTGCAATGCTTGTGACATTGATAGAATATGGACACTAGGCAACTGGTAGAAGAAAAACAAATCCATTCTGATTGAAAAAATTCAGGTACATTAGCCATTTGTTGTTTTATGGTGGACAGTTTCCTCTTAATGTTTATTGTTATTTGTTGGCAAAATAAAAGTGCCTTAAGTTAAAAGTTTGTTTTGAGATCCATTAAAGAAATCAGTATCAGTTCATAATGCAATGATTTACAAGTCTTTTTTTTTTTGCATGTCCATTGTAAATTTAATACTGTAAATGTATTCAAATCCATTTACATGCCTATGGCTGCCTTTGATTAAAACTTCTTCCAAAAAATAAACTCTGTCCAGATGTTGACTTTGTTCAGTTTTACTTCCTATCATATGACTCGAATGTAAGTTGTTGCAGAATCACTCCCAAGTGCATTCCTTGCCGTGCATTTGTATATCCCAGAATCTGAGGTTTGGGGGTTCTGAATGACAAGGGTACCCTGTGGGTAAAGCACCTCACGTCTATATGTCCGTCCTTCACTGCCTGTCGAGAGCAGGGAGTGGTCAGGCATCTCCCATGTGACCTGTGGCTTGGGGACTCCCAGGGCCACACAGTGGAGCTGGAAGGCGGCTCCTGTCCTTGTGAGGATGCTCCTGGGTGGGCGACTTGTAATTCGGGGAGGGTAGGCTATAATCATGACTGGCACTGTGATCAGTGCATGCCCGGCACTGTTTTGAGCCTTACAAACATAGTTTCCTCTGTCATAAGCTGTTGCTGCTTTGATAACTAAGGTGCCATTTTCATGCAATATGTATTTCCCATTAATTTGAGGCCTATCTAGTACATAACCACTGGGTAAGGTCCATTTGATATTTGGCTTAGGGACTCCGTCAGACATACAGTGTAGTGACACAGATTCTCCACTGACACTTTTAACCATTCCAAGGGCATACGTAAGAATAACTGGCTTCTGGCCAATTTCTAATATAATCAATTTCTCAATGTATCCGACTTTATTTCTGGCAGCACACCGGTATTTTCCTGCATCGTTCCGAGTCGTTCTATGAATGATGAAAGAACCATTGCTTGCTATCAGATACTGAGAATTGCGTGGCCCATTGGAAAACTGTGTGCCATTTGGTAGGATCCAGATTATTTCAGGTGGGGGGTTCCCATCCACAGAGCAATTTAATGCTGTGGCCTTTCCAAGCTGGCCAACTATCCTTTCATTGAACGGATTTCTGAACGTCGGTCTTCGCAGCATTTCCAGGACTTCGAGCTGTACCACCAACACGCTCTCTCCGCCCTCATTCCGAGCCACGCAGGTAAAATCCGCGGCATCGGAAGGCCTCACGTTCCTGATTTCCAAGGTTCCATTTTTATGGACTGTGACCCTTCCTCCATCGTGCGGGGCTGTGAGGAAAATGTTGTCTGGCATAATCCACATGACTTGAGGAGGGGGGGTCCCTTCGGCTTTGCAGTCCAGGTGCTTCTTGGAGTGTCTCACAGCCGTGACTCTAAGGACCGTTTTGTTTGTATACAGGCCGTTGATTAACGGAGGCTGAGCGACAACATCCAGTTTGTGCATTTTGCTGTCATCCCCCCTGGGATTTCGGGCCACGCACACGTACTTTCCAGAGTCAAGCGGTTGTACTTTGTGGATGGACAGAGACCCGTTGGTGTGATATGTGTACCTACCGTAGGAGAATGAGATCATGTCATTGGATGGCAGAAACCAAAATATCTTTGGTTTGGGCTCCCCGATGACCTCACAGTCAAGGACGGCTGTGTCTCCGGCTTTGACTCTTGTGCTGGCCTTGTAACCCTGCCTTATCCGTGGGGCTGCTGTGATCACTGTGAGGTGAACCCTCATCTCGTCTTTCCCCAGAGTGTTCTGTGCATAGCAGGTGTAATCTCCTTCTTCTGCGATCCCAACCTTGTTGAAGTACAAGGTTCCGTTGTGGAAAAGGGTGTACCTCTTGGTCCTGCGGCTGCTGTCATCTGCTTGCATTGCGTTGTTGATCATTGTTCCATCAGGCAGGCTCCAGGAGATCTCGGGCACTGGGGAGCCAGAAGCTTTGCAGTCAACTTGGAAATCCTTGCCATAGGGGACTTGCTTCCTGAAATGCTGCTTGTGGTCAATTTTGGCAGGTGTCAGCGTTAGGCTGACATGCATCAAGATCAGATCATCTCCCAGTTTGTTTCTTGCCACACACAAGTAGTCTCCGCCATCTTTTTCTGTAACTGACTGAATGAACAGGGATCCATTTGGGTACACGTGGATTCGGCTGCCCATTCTAAGGAGAAAAAAGGTTGACATCAGTGTGTGTCGGCCATTAGAAATGGTCTTTACATGGGCTTAGCGGCCCTCCATGGCTTTATCAAGGCATGATTAACAACAGTGAATATATTTGAGGTGGTCAGTGTGCTGTTTTGATTTATGTAGACTTTTTGAAATGATCGACACAGTCAAGCCAAATAGCATATCCACCCTTCAACCTTTGCTTGCGAGTTACAGGGAATTTGCTCTGTCTTGTGAGACATCTGCAGAAACATGAAGTCACTTTACTGCATATATATCATTTAATGCAAACAAGCAGTATGTCTGTGGTGGACTTCAATCTGCTTTACACAGATTGTTTTTTTTCAAACTTTTAATGTTAAGGAGAATGCTACAAACCCTGGATTCCCAAACAAGACTTCCTTGAACATGTTACATATCAAAACTTGTAAGTCCACAAAAATGATCATTCTGTGATAGATTAGTAAAGGAAAAAACTTTCATACAAATTTGCTTGCTCAGAAAATATATGGAAAATAGGGTGACTAAGGGGTACAAGTGTGCAGTTGTGTGGGGAGAACAACTTCTAATGTATAGCACAGTTAAATATGTATTTCAAAATAGCTAACAAGGTTTTGAATGTTCCCAAAGCAATGAGATGGATATGCTAATTAACTTGTTGTCATCGTTGGGTGTGTGGGTGTGTGTATGTGTGTAAGGTACAGTATACCCCACAAACATGTACAATTGTGTCATTTAACAATTTAAATAGGAGTGGGCATTTGGAATGCCTGCATCCCATACTGCAGTGCCTGGTGTTGGAGTCCCAAAGTCTGCTCTCCAGCTTCCTGCTGTTGTACATTTGGGGAAGCAGCAGGTGATGGTTCAAGTACTTGGGCCCCTGACACGGATGCAGGAGACCTCTATTGGCTTCATGTTCCTGATTTTGGCCTGGCTGTGCCCAGGTTGTTGTGAGAATTTGAGGGAGTAAATTAGTGTGTGGGATATCTTTCTTTTTTGTCTCCCTGCCTTTTAAATATATATTTCATTTTTATTTTTTAGAATTTACTTATTTGAAGACGGGAGAGAGGGTAAAGGGGAGAGATCTCTTCCATTTGTTGGTACATTCTCCAAAAGGCCTCAGTGGCAAGGCTTGGACCAGGTCAAAGCCAGGACACGGGAGCTCCTTCAGGTGTCTCCCACATGGATGGCTGGGGCCCAAGTATTTCTGCTGCCTTCCCATGCAGATTAGCAGGGAGCTGGATTGGAAGCAGAACAGCTGGGACTAGAACCTGAAAGGTGTTTCAGTTTGAGTACCTCTAATCCCAAATCAGAAGTGCTCTAAAACTGAGCATAATATTGCTGCTGAAAACATTTCCGATTTTGAATTTTCAGAGTAGGAGTGCTCAACCAAATATACCAACATTCCAAAATCCAATCAAATGCAAAATAGGAAACCCTTCTGATCTCAGACATTTCAGATAATGGATATCTAATCAGTAACAATAGTCATTGAATAATTTGGCTAGAACATGACTTATACTTGACCATAAAGAGAGAGAATGGCAATGTTAGACTCAATAGAAGCTGACTGCTTTGTGGGCAGCTGCAAAGTGATTTCCTAAGGTTGAATTGCAAGCACACTATACATCCTGCTATTACCATTTTGAACCACCAGATGGCAGATATTTCCTGGTAAAAATTTTTTCAGAAAGCACTGGCTACTGAAGTAGTGCTAAAAGTGTGATCAGAATGCTGAGAGCTGAAAATCGGTGTATGTTGTTCTTATGTTTTAGCAACATGAAGTAAGTAGGTGATAGAATTTTGGAGGAAGGGACTCTTTCACAGTATAACTGCTGTCCAGACAGCCTCATTTATAATCTGCAGCAAACATACCATAAAATATTGTAGAGAAATGTTTAACAGGTGCGTGTGTCTGCCTTTTTTTTTTTTTTTTTTCATTTTTCAGGCATTGAAGGCATTTCCTTGGCGTATAAACAAAGGTAAAGTCACGGAAGCACTTCATAAAGGGGATGGAAACTGGCAGTTGCTTTGACCTGATTTTTTAAATATTGGAGCAGTTTTCCCACCTTATATAAGTACAAGTGAAAAATTAGTATTTAGAGAAATTTAATAACTTGCCTTAAATTCACAGGGCTGATTCCTAAGCCTCTGAGTTTGTTTAGCAACCACGTTACCTGCTATTACTCTTTCCTAATGCATGCTAATTTGGCTGCACATTAAAATAAGTTGTGTAGTTAAAATAAAACTCATGCTGGGATTCCACCTCCAGAATTTTTGTGTGTGTGTGTGTGGAAAATTTGGCTAGGGACCAGGACTCACACTTTCCGGGGCCGGCGCTGTGGCACAGCAGGTTAACGCCCTGGCTTGAAGCGCCAGCATCTCATGTGGGTGCTGATTCGAGTCCTAGCTGCTCCACTTCAGATCCTGCTCTCTGCTATGGCCTGGGAAAGCAGTGGAAGATGGCCCAGGTCCTTGGGCCCCTGTGGGAGACCCGGAAGAAGTTCCTGATTCCTGGCTTTGGATTGCCACAGCTCTGGCCGTTGCGGCCAATTGGGGAGTGAACCATCGGATGGAAGATCTCTCTCTCGCTCTCTCTGCTTCTCCTTCTCTCTCAAATAAATAAATAAATCTTTAAAAAAAAAAACTTTCCTGCAGGACTGTCACATGCAACTAAATCTCAGTGCCATTGTTCTCAATGCAGCTCCTCCGTTACCTGCATCAGAATCAGGTAGTACTGAATTTATAGTTCATAATTCTTGGCTTCACTTTCCAGAGGTTGAGTCAATAGATTAGGACTGAGATTTAGAAACCCGTTCCTTAACAGAGTTCCCAGGTAACTGATGAGCAGTTGAGACCAGACTCACATTCTAGTGCACACCAAGATGACTTGGGTAAGTGAGAATCATCCCCATGTACTGTGGAATTTTTTAAAAGTATTTCAGAAACTAGCAGTGGCCTTCAGTATGAATGAAATGCATAAATAACTAGAAGGCAAAAACATGAGAGACACTGATACTGTAAGATATTTGGTTGCTTGTCAAAAATAAGACTTTCTGATTCAACAGGATCACGGGCAATGTTGATGCTACTTGTGGAGGAAATACTTCCTGAGAACCCTGACATCGAGTTATAGCCCACTACAGTCCTATGCAACTGGAGGTTGCAATGTATTAGAATTTTAGCTCATTCTTTCTACAAATTGAAATTTCCAAGAGAGTGACTATACTTTTGAAAGAAGTTTCGCTTAGTTTTCCCTAAGTAAAAGAAAATTCTTTACAAAAATTAAAATAGAGAAAAGTACTTGCAGCCATCCAAAGCCCTATTCTTGGGCCTCACATCTGAGAGGACTACACAGTCTTCATGGAAAACAAGTAGTTTTTACTGCAGGGCTGGTATCGTGGCGTGGTAGGTTAAGCTGCTGCCTGTGATGGCAGCATCCCATATCAGAGGCTGGTTTGAGTCTCACCTGCTCTGCTTCCTGTCTAGCTTCCTGCTAATGTGCCTGGAAAGGCAGAAGATGGCCCAAGTGCTTGGACTTCCACCACCCATGTGGCAGACAGGTTGGAGTTCCAGGCTCCTAGCCCTGACCATTGTGGCCATTTGGAGAGTAAGCCAATGGATGGAAGACATCTTTGTCTATCTGTGGCTCCCTTTCTCTCTCTCTTCCCTCTGTCAAACAAATAAATCTCCAAAGACAGGTAATGCGAATTTTCCATGAGCTTTTTTGAAGCACCCTCATGATTCACCCATTAAACTTGTCTTCACGTGCAGATTCTGACCCAGGAGTTCTCAAGGACTGACACTTTGCACCTGGAAGCTCCCAGGTCAGGGAGAACAGGATTCTAGATGAGAGAGAGCAGCTTTGCACTGAAAGCCAGGTAATGGCCAAAGTAGTGGAGCAGAGCAGCATGGCGCTGAATGCAGGACCAGAAGAAACTTGAGAAAGGTTTTGATGATTCGCGTGACAAACGGACTTTGGTTATTTGGGGCATGGTGGGAAGGACTTACAATTCAAACTTTAAAAGTAAGGAAGTAGGAATATTAAGTGTTTGGAAATAAAAGGGACTTTTTCCTTTCTATTGACAATCTAAAAAGGATTAAGTGAAAATTATTGTTTTTTAGTAGGTTGGCTACAAAAAAGTTACTGAAGCTTTCCATTCACAACTATGTTACATTTCATGGTAAAAATACAGTACCTGCACCTCTGGTGGGTGCACTATAGTATTTGGGACCTTATGCAGTCTCTCTGTCTCTTCCATAGTAGGACCTTATTTTTCTTTTTAAAATTTAATAGTCTGTGTTCCATAAGGATTTTCCAAAGACAAAATAGAAACAGCCTAATTTCTTTGTGATTTAATTTTCAGAAATTTTCTGAAATATTTGATCAGGACTTATTCTAAGATGTTAATAATACATTTTAGAATGCTTTGTAGAATTCCTCTACACTGACTTTTTTAGACATAGTGTTTCATACTATCTGATAAAATATTTCCATGTTCAAAAATAGACTTTACGACACCCAGTAAATGTTTTGGTCTTGGCTTCACAAGCTAAATTTTGAATTCTATCTGTTATTTCCATTGCAAATGTGATGTTTCCAACACTGCTAGTACATGTTTCAGATTGGGTAATTCCCTAGTATAATGAGTGGTCTCTTGGTAAATAAGAATTCCACAGTACATGGGCATGATTTATTATAAATGCATTAATTTCAATAACTAGAACTGGCCTTCATCATTAATGAAATGCTTACAATAACTCGAAGGCAAAAAAAAAATACGGTGCTGATATTGTGAAATTAAATGCTCAAAGTCTTGAAAATATTTGATGCCATGAGTAAATGTATAGTAGATCTAACAAAGATCTGGTTTCTGAAGTTTATGTTGCATAGCTCAACATTTTAGAATTTTAAATTGAATTTCAGTGTAACATTTGGCCAGGTAGTTTTGTTGACATTTGAAAAACTTGGTTCTTAGAAATTGACATTTACTTTTAAGTTAAAAAAAAAATCACAAGTTAAATTCATTAATATATTCATATTAATTCATGCAAGTAGTTTTTGGGTTCCTGCACCCACATGGGAGACCAGGAAGAAGCACTTGGCTCCTGGCTTCGGATTGGCACAGCACCAACCATAGCAGCCATTTGTGGGGTGTACCAACAGAAGGAAGACCTTTCTCTCTGTCTCTCTCACTGTCTATAACTCTATCAAATAAAAAAAAGACCTCACTGTTGTAACTTTCATAAAGTGCTTTACAGTGTTAGAAAAGAGGAAATTAAATTTCAGTGTTATTAAAGTTTAAAATACGGGAGACCCTAAGAGTGATACAATGGATTGCGTCCCTCCAGAACCTTGACTGCATTGCAAGGATTTTCTTTTTGATATAGAAATTATGAATATATTTACATGGTTATTTTAGTGTCACAAGTGTGAAGCAAATTAGATTTATATTCTTTTAACTATAGACTCAGGAGGCTGCCCCCTTGAGTGCAGTGTGTGAGTAGACTGGTTTTTACATGCAAATGATCTGATAAGGAGTAGGTTTCTTTAGAGAAGATTGCTTTTATGTAGAGTCCCCGTGCTCCCTAAACTGCTAGCCTTGCTCTATCACTTTTCCTATTTCATAACTCGTACAGTTAAATATATACAGTGGATAATTCCAACTCAACAGTGCGGGTTTACCTGTGCCACTGGTCGACAACAGCCTTGGATGGTAACCTCCAAATTATTTTGGGTCTGGGTTCTCCTGTGGCTGAGCAGTTCAGTAGCAATTTATCCCCAAAATTCACCTGGGTCCATTTCTGGGATGCAACTTCTATCCTGGGAATGGTGTCTCGCTCTTCCACTGTAAGTATAACCACTCTCCTCTCTGAGCCAGTGGAACTGGTAGCAATACATTCGTACATGCCCTTGTCTGAAGAGCCTATGTTTCTTATATGCAGAGTCCCATTTGAATATAAGAACCATTTGGAATTAGTAAAGTGCAATGGTTTCACTGTAGTACCATCAGAGAGGACCCAGTGGACACTGGGCTGAGGGGTTCCTTTGGCGGTGCAGGGCAGTTTCAAACTTTCACCCCAAGCCCCTGCAATGACTTGCCTCTTTTGTTCTAGAATCACAGGTGGGGCTGCAATGACTTGCATCTTTACCAGTAGTGAATCCTGGCCAACTGCATTGCTGGCTATGCATTGGTAAAAGCCACGATCATAAACGCTGACACTGTGGATGACCAGTGTTCCATCAGGTGTCACTAAGGCCTGTCTGTTTCCCTCAGATTCTGAGACTACTGTTTGGTTTGCAAGTATCCAGGAAATCGTAGGGCTTGGCCTGCCTTCCGCTCTGCATTTCAGTTCCACGGTGCTTCCAGAATGAAGTGTGATCTCTTTGGTGCGTTTCTCCAGGATCCTGGGGGCATAGGAGACTACGGACAAAGTGACATGAAGGTGGTCTGTCCCAAGCGGATTGGATGCTGAGCACAGGTACTGTCCACGGTCCTGAATGTCCACCCTCTGGATGAACAGGGTGCCATTGGGTAGCACCTGGAACCTGCTGTTCTGTTTTATTTTAGAAAGTTCAAGTCCTGGTAAGAAAAGATTTATAACCATAGGTCATCAAAGTTTAAATAGAAAACATACAGTTATCTTTTTGTTAGGCTATTGAGCATAATGCATTTACATTAAAATTAGGCCACCTAGTAGTCATATTTCTAAAATTATTCTTGGATTTTCTTTATACACAAAACTTAAAAGCCAGTGGTTCAACACAATGACCTCCTTTTTCAAATCATATTTATCTGTTTTCAAAGAACTTCAAGATCTACTCTTAATTAAGGTGTTTTTAAAAGTATGCAAATATCAAATGAGAATATTAACAGTGTCTTACTTTGGAAAAAATATTGAAACTAGTGTTGATTCCTCAGATGTGCACCCTGGAAACCTAACACCATCTTTTGCTAGTTTTGCAATTAAAGAAGATGAAGTATAAAGACATAGTTTCAAGTACCTGAAGAGACTCTGGTCCAGTGGATGGTGGGAAGGGGGTTCCCACTAGCTTCACAGGGAAGAAAGGCATCTGAGTTAGCTGAAACTGTAAAACTTGCAGCTTTCCCTCCAACTATTCTGGGCTTTTCAAATACATTCCTAGACAGAGAGTCAGAGGGAAGGAGTTTAGAAGTTGTTAGTTTTTGAATGGGTTTCATATCAAAGCCAGTTTTCTTTGCATTCTTCTGTCTATCCCAACTGGAAGTATGAGGGGTGGACTGTGGCAAGCCTAGAGTGGGAAGCATGCTTAATGAAGGATTTTTGCTGCCTTCAACAATTTCTGGCAAGGGAGAGGTAGTCCATTTTGAAATCTGTGGTGTCACTGTTACTAGTGCTGGCATAGGAGTAGTATTTAACAGATTAGAGTAGGTAAAGTGAGTGGTTCCAATTGCAAACTTGGCTTTTGCAGGAGCCTCAAGAGATGAGGTAACCTCTGCAGCTAATTGCTGTCGATTGGTATTGTACTGTGTGGATTCATGAGGCTTGATCACTGCATTCATCGACGTCTCAGAAATGGGAACTGCTGCTTTGTCAGTAACTGTACTTTGCATAAAGGCAGAGGAGGTGGGACTTGGCATTACAGTAGCACTGCTGCTCTGGAATGGTGGCACAGTTGAGTGTTTCGTGATTGTTTTCCTAGTTGTGGTAATCTTGTGTGATTTACTGGACCGAGTTGTTTCAGAAGCAATTGTGCCCCTCAAAGTCTGAGGACTCTCTAGGGGGACTTCTTCAATTACATCTGTCAAATTAAGAGTTCTTGAAGGAAGACCAGTTGTACTTGAAATTCCCTTGGTGTTTTCTAGAGAAGAGTGAGTGGAAGCAGAGACACTGGGTTTGATTAAAATCTTGGCTGTGTTTAGAGCAAGAGGTGTCAGATCAGTGGATGTCGTGAAGCCAGAACTCTGGCCTGGAGAGATGTTTGGGTCTTTCCTATTCTGAGGCCCCTTTTTCCTTTTTAATTTTTGTACCCTTGGTCCGACTGTTTGGGTTTTATACATCATTACAGGTGCAGGGGCAGTAGTCAGAGGTGCCAGTGTGTCCATTTTTACAGGTTGGAAGCTCGCTGTACTTGAGGCTATGCTTGTGGTGCTAGGAGGCATAGAGTAAAAAGCTGGGAAGGGCAGCTCCTTCACTGTAGGGAGACTTTGGGGACTGTGTGTTTCCATGGTTTGGTAGTGAGTTGTGGGCAGTGTTACAGATGGAATTTGTATGAGACTTGTTGAGAGTGTTGTGAAGTAGGAGGGGGCAATTGGATCCGTGGGTAAAGCAGGAGATGTTTTAGGAAGCATCATGACCGTGTTTTCAAAACCGTGTTTATGCAGATTCCTTAATCTCTCTTTTTGGTTATGGTTATTTACAAAGGTGTGATGCCAGGGAAATTTCCTTCTTGATAATCTTGTAATGGCCATAGTAGTAGGCATCGATGGCTTGGTGATGGATTCTGAAGGTGGCAATAGAATCACTGAATCTCTTTTAGCTTCACCGATGTTAGACACACCAGAGTCACTCACATCTGTTTTAAAACTTTTTTCCATAGATAAAGATGTTGGGGTATAAGTCGGGCCTGTATCAGTTGGAGTCACCTGGGTATTTTCAGCACTGAAGTATTTTATGCTGGGTGCTGTTTTCTCATTACCTACATGTAGTGTGTTCTCAGATAGTAATGATGAGTTCTGGACAAGAGTTGTAGATTCTCCTGATGTGGCTCTGGCAATGTCCGCTTTGGGGAGGGTGCTAGGAGAACTTAAAAGAGATAATACTGTTGGAGTAGTAGTAGGGCTCCTTCTGGGAGGACAGGAGGGACAAACCACATTGAACTCTGGGGCCAAAAATGCAGTAGTGTTTTCTTCAGAATAACCTCTGGATGTTGGCCTGCCGTATCTATGCCGCCGGAGCACTGGAGTCCTATATGGACTGATAACTCGCCCCCTGACCCAAATTTTCCTCCGTCTTCCAAAGCGTCTGGTCGGAGGAATGTTAGTTGTACTATTTCTAGGACTCTGAAACTGAGAATGAGCAGCAGTGTACGGATCTGAAGGGAGCTTGGAAGTGCTAAGCTGTTGAGTAGGGTGAAGGTAGAACACATCGGTGCTAGACTCACCGATGCCCATCATCGATGTCTGCTGACCCCTTGTGGCAGTTTCTGGTGCTAAGAATAGGTCTGCTTTGTCATTAGTACTAGCATGCATTTTGATGTGGGTGTCTTTGATCACAGTCCTTACTGTTACTGGGATTGTGCTTTGGAAATGTTCTTTTATTCCAATCTGATCAGTATCATGAACTTTGCTTGTTCCAGGTAGCAGTGAAAAAATAATGGATGAATTTTGGTTGTTTGCGCCTTTCATTGCACTTGATGTAGTTGGGCTTATATTCTTTGATCGTGCTGTGGTTTTAACAGCATTAGATAGTCTGAAATCCATTGGTTTTACAGATGGTAGTACTTGTGGACTTGGAACTGGTGAGACTTCCGTGCCAGAAGGCATACTTGTCACGGAGCTAGGAGACACTGTTCTGGAGTCAGCAGTCACCATCCTGGCTGGAGCAGTGGAAGCTTTGGCTGCCAAGACCTTAAGTTCCTCCTCTGGAGGGAGCCTGCCTGAAGAGTCGTCTTCCTCGCCAGGTACTTTCAAGAACTGGGTGACAGCTGGGGGTGGCCTTACTGTAGTCATTTCTCTTCGTTCTGGCACAGCATTCTTTTTCACTTTCTCCATGAGTGCTGCCCAGCGTTGTGGGTCAATTCTCTGAGCAGAGGGAGGGAAGTGCCTCCTGTGTTCCCTGAACCGGCGGCGTGTGGAATCTCCGTGCCACCGCTGTGTTAACTCCCGATTGTTGTGTCTTTTCCTTGCACTTGAGAATTGTTTTCCAACCCCGGGCCTCTCTGGAGCAGATGTAGGGAGCTGCCTAGCTGGAGACTCCTGAGGATGGGCAATGGGATTGGACTCATCATGTCCTGATCCATCTGCTTCCACATCATGTTCCACTCGCCTTTGTCCTTTTACTTTGACTGAAACTTGGAAAATCAAAAAATCGACCCCAGATGGGTTGGCAGCTATACAACGATAGTGGCCTTGGTCTTTTTGGCTGACCTGTACTATTCTTAGTGTATCATTATTAAGAATTTGCTTTTCTTTTGAGGACTCAGAGAGCACAGTGTTTCCTGGAAGAATCCAGCTAGTAGAGGCATCTGGGCTACCATTAGAAACGCATGGAAGATCTAGTGATTCACCACTGAAAACTGTGTGATGAACGCCATCTCCATGATAAGCTTCTGCAGAGGTGTCTACCACGGTTATCCTGTAGGTAAGAATATCTGCATCACCGTAATTAGTGCTTATGCAGTGGTATAGGCCTGTGTCAGAAGTGTCGGCCATCTGGAGCTCCAGTTTTCCATTTTTGTCTATGAGGATTCGTCCATCCTCACTAACATAAGGAGCTCTCACTTTACTCCCATCAGCCAGAAGCCACTCCAAATGTGGGGTGGGATCTCCTTGGCCTGGGCAATCCAGGTCAATGGTCCCACCCACCAAAACAGTGTGTTCCAGCTTAGTATTGTTATCCCTTGAAATCATGGTCCATTTGTGTTTCACTGGCCTCATCTCTGCCCTGGGTACAGTGACTTGGGCATCACTCGAGTACTGGATCTGTAAGGTACTGAGTGTGGTGGCAATCCTGTTCAGTTGCAAGGAAATTCGGTCTTGCATTAACCAAGAGGGCTCTGCACTGAGGTCAACCTCTATGTTGGTAAAAATGTCTTCAGGTTTAGGAGCCATCTGTTTATATTTGTAGCAGAGCTGTGGTGTTTCCCTGAGTACGTGGCTCCTTTCAAGAACTAGAGGAGAATCACTGTATAAAGCCAGAAGTTGCCACACTGGCTGAATGTGACTGTGATCGAGGTTGCACACCAGAGATGCTGAAAAGGATATATTTAGTCTGATGCGGTCATTGTCTTTTGTGACTGCAATGGGTGATGTCCTTGTGGGCTTTTGGATACTGCAGCCCATGTTAGCTTCATTTCCAGACTGGTCTGTCATATTCAAAGCCAGGGAGCCAAAAGGTGCCATGAAATCGTGGGGAGAGATGGAGGCAGGAGGGCTGTCTTCCGGAATAGTTTGGCTCTTTGATTTCAGGAATGGGTCAATAGTTGGCTTGGCACACAGGAAAGCTGCTGCTGGGACCACAGCAAAGGGCTTGCCTTTAGAGGTCCTGGGGTTAGTGCACAGGGGACACTGCTGTGCACTGGAAGGACTTCTGTCTTTTTTGCATTTTATTACATCTAGGAAAGATCACAATTGAATCATTATGAATTAACATTTGAAGTTTTTAAAGAAATAGTTTGTTAGAATTAAAGATTAAAATTTCTAAGTTGTTTATAATCGACAGATGGCCATGTTCTTTGTCTTTGAATTGATTTCTGAAAAAAAGTCCACATGTCCTGCTACAACATAAAATGCATAGGCATGGGACTGCGTTTTTCTTTTTCAGGGCTTTATCGCTCACATGTAGAAAATGCCTGATATGTATTTGATACTCAGTAAACATTAGTTGAGTCAGTCAGTCCATATTTAGGGACATGAAATCCCATGCTTAGGTTTTTCATTTATTAATAGCATTTTAGTTCCACTTCTTCACTCATCATCCTTTATATGGTAACCTATTTAATAAACAGTCATTTATCAGCTCTTGCATAGACTTGAAACCCAAGTTTCTTTCCATGGTCCCAAAGAACACTGACTGATACACAAAATACTATGGACTGGTCCAGGAATCAGATGGATGCAGGAGAAAATGAAACAGGTAGAAGAATTAGTAGGATGTGAGGATTGATTGACACGGAAGGTGACTGAAAGAAGACTCAGGTTTGTGACTTTGGTTACTGCAAGACTAGGTTAAATTGGGAGGGGACACAAATCTTGGATCAGCCCATTAAAAATCTGATACTCTGATGATGCCAGAAGTTTATAAATCTTCTAGCATTGGGATTAGCCTTTGTACTTTTCAGGTATTGGATACCTCATACTTGGGTATTTAAAAATACTGCTTTGATGAGCCTACTTTAAATGACTGGTCACAAGTGTACTTCATAAGAAGTACAGAGTTTTCCCTTGAACAAGATTTCATGCCCTTCCATATAGTAGCTTCCCCCTCATGCAATGGACATAGCACACAAGAGAAGCACTGTACTTCCTACAAGATCTAATAGGCCAGAGCAGTTAGACACTCAAATCACCTCCTTACACATGCACATTTTCTCTCACAAGCTTCAGAAAATCACTCTGACCAAGGACTTCAAACCCATCAGTGTGTGCAGGAGCTCCCCACGCCCTTATCTTTGGTTTTAGTTACCAAGGTTAACTGTGCTCAAAATTTTTTAAGTGGCAAATTCAAATTGTGCACCATTCTGTGTAGTATGATGCAATCTCATGCCCTCCACCTCACCTGCAGTATGAATCGTCCCTTTGTCCACATAATTACTCATGTTGTGTACCCTACCTGTCAATTAGTGACTATTGTGGTATCACAGTGCTATGTTCAGGGACTTAATGACAAAGAGTAGTTGTAAAGTGTTGCCTTTACTTGAAAAGGTGAAAGGAAAAAAAAAGCCACACGCTGAGGTTGCAAAATCTGGAGTAAGAATGATTTTTCTATCCTTAAAGTTGTGTCAGTGTTGCCATTGTACCTTTAGCTACAAAATCACAGGTACAGAGTTAAGATGGAAAAGATAAAATTGTATATGTGTTTGGAACTCTCTATGGTTTTAAGCTTCTGCCAGGGTCTTGGAATGTAACTCTGCAGTTAAGGGTGAACAACTGTACTTCAGTGTGACAGATGATGTCACAGGTATTTGGCCACTCAGCATTCTTCAGCAGATTTTATGGTCTTAACTCATTCAAAGCTGCAAAGCTTTGTGCCATCATAAGCAGCTCCTTTCAATCTCCCACTTACCAACAAGCTATACCTACTATCAAAGCACCCTGGCTCAACCCCTACCAAACCAGAAAGCCTAGCAGACTTCTGGCTTCATTATACCTCACATCACTGTATGCTTATTATTGCTTACGCCTGGGCCAATGTTAGCAGGCCTTTGACATCCATTATTAAATCTGATCATATCACCCCCATTCATAGCAGTCTCATAAAATGCCTTCCAGTCTTAAACCATGGAATGCCCTGTGCATCTCTGGCCTATCTAACATGCCTTCTCCCATTAATGCATCACCACTTACTACTCCAGGACCCAATCTGAACAGCTCTTAGAGACTCTCTGCTTCACTCTCTCCTATCTTACCTCCCCTTGCCTTTCTCTAGTTGGCGGTCTCCCACCAGACCAGAAGCTCTGTTCTTGTCTAGCCATATGTTCTCAGCTCTGAGCAAGGGATGCTTAGGAAGGAACGAGGAGAAGACTGGGCAGCCTGTTGTTTTGTTTTGTTTTGTTTTTAAAGATGTTAGAGTCACAGAGAGGGAGAAACAGGTCTTCAGTCCACTGGTTCACTGCTCAGATGGCTGCGACAGCTGGAGTTTGGCCAAGTTGAAGATAAGAGCCAGGAGTTTTTTTCAGGCCTCCCACATGGGTGGTTTTACCTGCTACTCCACAACACTAGCCCCTATATTTAAATTGAAATCTCTCAAAATTGAAGATGTTTTATAGTAGCAGTTGGCAGTCTTAATACAACTGTCATTGCCTGTATATACCTTCAAATATTGTCCCAGCTGTTTAATTTTCAATTGTGTCACATGCATTGTTGATATTACATATATTAAGTTTCCTACTTTCATTAAGATTACACTCTGGAATGAAAATAAGGTTGTTGTATATTTGGAAATAATGTAAATAACACAAGGACATAAATTTAATATTGGTACAACAAATGTTTGTCATACAAATGGCCATAAATTCATATTTTATAGAAAAGTAATAACTAGAGCTTTGTAGAACCAAAGAGTGAAAGATACCCCCAAATATATGAAGGAGTGTGACATTTGACCCTGAAATATGTGCAAAAGGATTGCTTAGTACATGCCTAGTGAGGCAACTGTTGGTGTGAGAAGCTGTCAGTCTCCTAGAATAGATGAAAAACATTTCACAGCATAAGAGACTGATGTGATTGATTCATGGGTCTTATAGGATTATCCTGTGCATCTCAGTCAAAGCAATACTTATTTAGACTCAACTATATGGCATGTGTGCATATGTAGGTGCAAAAAATATATACAAGGCATCTTCAGGAAGTTCATGGAAATGCCTATTATGGAAAAAATATGCATGGACTTCAAAGTTGTTGCACCAAAATAAAATTTTTAGAAAATGTTCTTGAGGCCTGGCACTGTGGCTCACTAGGCTAATCCTCCGCCTGCGTGCCGGCATCCCATATGGGTGCCGGGTTCTAGTCCCAGTTGCTCCTCTTCCAGTCCAGCTCTCTGCTGTGGCCTGGGAGGGCAGTGGAGGATGACTCAAGTGTTTGGGCCCCCGCACCCACACGGGAGACCAGGAAGAAGCACCTGGCTTCGGATCGGCACAGCGCTGGCCGTAGCGGCCATTTGGGGAGTGAACCAATGGAAGGAAGACCTTTCTCTCTGTCTCTCTATCTGTCTATAACTCTACCTGTGAAATAAAAAAGATGTTCTTGGAATAGGTAAGTTTATTTTTTGCTTATTTGAAATAGACAGATCTCCTGTTCACTGGTTAAATCCCCATATATCCACAACAGCCAGGGTTGAGCCATGCTGAGGCCAAGAGCCAGGAATACAATCACTTGAGCCATCACCTCCTGCCTCCCAGGGCGCACGTTAACAGGAAGTTAGAATATGGTGGATGTGAGACTTGATCTTAGGCCATCTCAAGCTGGAGTTTAGCCATTGCCTCCAATGCCCATCACTCCAGGAACTTTTTGAAGTACCCTCATATGAAGAAAAATTTGGGATGTAGTAAGACCAGCAATATCTAGGAGCAGGTGTTTATCCTAGTGGTTAAGACAGCTGCATCCCACATTGGAGTACTTGGGTTCTATTCTTGGCTCTAGTTCTTGGCTCTAGCCTCCTGCCAATGCAGACCTCTGGAGGCAGCAGTGATGGTTTAAGTAATTGAGTTGCTGCCACCAAAGTAGGAGGAGTAGATTGAATTCCCAGCTCCTGGCCTTGGTCCCAGCCCAGCTGTAGATGCTGTGAGCATTTGGGAAGTGAAGCAGTGGAAATAAACTCTCTGTTTCTGTGCCTTTCAAATACATAAAGTAAAACAATGAGCATATGTATATAGTGGCTGGATGGTGGGCTCAATTATATTATATCAAAATGACTACATAATAAACACTGAGTTCAACAACAACAAAACTTGAGTACTTACTGTGCTCCAGACATATGCTAGGGATAAATTAGACCTAGGAAAGGCAACAGACATCTAATATATTGAATATAATAAAATGTCCATTTGAGAATAGAAGTGCAAGCAAATCGCAAACTGATGGAATGTATATTCTGATGTGGCTGAGGTAGGTGGGGGACAGGCAGTGGTAAAACAGTGGTGAATTAGCCTGTGGTGTGTCTGGGATGGGAAAGGATCTAATGGTTGAAGAGCTAGGAAAGGAGGATGAGCCAAGACCACAGAAGGAGGACCTGGTATGTGGGCTGAGGAGCCCCAGCTTTATTCTCTAAGCCAAGGGTTTGCCAACTCAAACTCAGGGGCCAGCGTGTGAAAGAGTTGCAGCCTCGTGGACCACAGGTCTCTAAAGTAACTACTTCACTCTGCCACAGTAGCAAGAACACAGCCAGCAAAAATATACAAGGATTCCTTATTACTGAGACTTCATCGTCTCTCCAGCTAAACCACTTTGGCCTTCCCACTTACAGTAGAAACATTCTATTTAATTAGGACAAATAATTAAGCAAATACAGATACCTGGCTTCTCCTGTATCCAGTCAGACAACCATTTTAAGTGGCAGTCACAGGTCCATGGATTCCCATGCAGATATAGGCTTTCCAGGTCTGGCATAGAGGAGACCATCTCATGGGGGAGGGAGGTCAGGAAGTTATCAGACAAGTAGAGGTACTTGATGAAAGACACTTTAAATACCCGGAGGTAGTGCATAGAGACAAACGTATCTGGATGAAGCTTGGTGAGCCGATTTCCTTCCAAGTGGACAAGGCGGAGCGAGGTGAGTCCAACAAACACCTCTGGGTTTATAAACTCAATATTGTTGTGGTCCATATGCAACCGTGTCAAGCTCCTGAGGCCATAAAAAGTATCTTTCTGAAGTTTTTGGACTTTGTTATAGCTCATTTTTAAGACCTGAGAGTAAAAAGATGAACACATTTGTTTCATCAGAGATTTTCACAAAAGGAAAAAGTATCTCAAGCTGTGATTAATCCAATGCAATGTCTATGTCTTGTTGGGATCCTTACTCTAGCAAATTAAATGTGACAAAAATGTAGAAATTCAAACCTTCATGAACACTTGCTGGTATTAAGAAACTGTTGCTAAAAATTACAATGATAGTGTAGTTATTTTTTAAAAATCCCTTAACTTTGAGATACACATTGAAGTACATACAGGTAAAACATAAACTTGGGTTTCAGAACAATTCAGAGTGGAGAATGGAGGTGCAGGTGAGACATCTGTTCTATGTTGAGAACTACTGAAATTGGGTGATGATATACTGGGGTTCACCATACCGTAGTCCTCCCTTTCCACAGAGGATATCTAGGATCTGAAGTGGAAGCCTGGATACTACTGAGCCTTAAACAATAAGTTTATCTTGGTACAAAAATTTTGAAATTCTGCATCGTGTTTTCATCATTTTTCATGATATGCATTTCTACAAACTTTCTGAAGATTCCTTGTACCTGTGGATTTCAAACTTCTTGCACCAAAATAAATATCTTGTAACTTCATTTCCATGAAGTTTTTAATGTTCTCTCCTACATACATACCTACTTTAGGTAAAGTTCAATTTATAAACTAGGCACTAACATTAACAATAGAAAAATATAATAAACATGAATGAACATAATGATGTGGTTTCTCAAACTAATTTACTGCAGTATGTTATATTTTCAAATCTTGACTGCAGTTACCTGAAACTGTGGAAAGCAAAAGTTTATTCTAATTTTATATAAGACAGAAAACTTCCATAATGTTTTAAACAGTGTATTGTGGTATTTCAAGTAGACTTAAGATTTCTTGAACCTGAATTTTTCATTAAATAATATGTCTTCAAAAATTCATGGAAAATGCATATTATGGAAGAAGTGTGGATTTTAAAATTTTTACACCAAAATAAACTTACTTTTAATTCCATTTCCACTTTTGGAAGCACCCTCATATGATGGTTTTAGTTTTTTCCTTTATAATGGCTTTATTGAGATATAATTCATATAGTATAAAATTAACCTTTATAATGTGCATAGTTCATTGGTATTTAGTATGGTCTTGGAGTTATACAACTGTATCCACTAAGTTTATAAAATTTTTATCATCCCAAATAAAAAGTGACGGCCATTAACACTCTTTTCCTCCTACCTCCTAGCCTTGGGCAACCACTAACTTATATTTTGTTTCTATGGATTTGCTGATTCTGATCATTTTGTACAAATGGAATCATATCATATGTGACCTTTTGTGTCTGGCTTCTTTCACTGATTGAATGTTTTCAAGACCCATTCTTCAGTCTTGCATATGTCAGCCCTTCCTGTCTTTTTTCTTACTGAGTAGTAGTCCATTAAATGTACCACATTTGGTTTATTCATTCCTGAGCTGATGGACATTTGGGGTTATTATGAATAATATGATTAATTTATTTTGAGTTGAAATTCAAATAATTTTGACTATTTTATTCCAAACCCTTTAAACATACGTTTTTTGCCAAAAATAGAAATGCTATTAAAGATAATGATTTCTCATTATATTTTCCTGTTTTTGTCTAAGGTATCATCTGTGTCAAAGATGATTTTCTGGAATGCCAAATTCCCTAATAAACAAAGAAATATTGGCAACATACTGTATTGCATGGGGAATTTTGTGACATTGCTTTCTGATTTAAAATCAGAAATGGTTGTAGTTGTCCTAAATTGTAGTTTTACTTATTTTTCTTTTTAATTTAATAGACACCATGTATTATGGTTTAGCTTCTGGAAAGCTTCAAGTCCTATTTAGTAGCAGACATAACTATCTCTACATACATACTTGTCTGTAGTTGCTTTACTACATCACTTTTACTTTCTCACTTATCTAATAATTCTTACAATAATGTATGCATTTGTGGGAGTCCACACAACATAAATTTTTGAACAAGTGATTGAAATAAATAAGTAAAGCTAACCACTGTTGGTGGGAATGCAAACTGGTAAAGCCACTATGGAAATCAGTCTGGAGATTCCTCAGAAACCTGAATATAACCCTGCCATTCAACCCAGCCATCCCACTCCTTGGAATTTACCCAAAGGAAATTAAATTGGCCAATAAAAAAGCTGTCTGCACCTTAATGTTTATTGCAGCTCAATTCACAATAGCTAAGACCTGGAATCAACCTAAATACCCATCAACAGTAGAATGGATAAAGAAATTATGGGAGATGTACTCTATAGAATACTATACAGCAGTAAAAAACAATGAAATCCGGTCATTTGCAACAAAATGGAGGAATCTGGAACACATCATGCTGAGTGAAATAAGCCAGTCCCAAAGGGACAAATATCATATGTTCTCCCTGATCGGTGACAACTAACCAACCACAAAAAAGGAAACCTGTTGAAATCTTTAATATATACTAAATTGATCTTCTGTATATAAAGATAATTGAAAATGAATCTTGATGAAGAATGGGATGGGAGAGGGAGCAGGAGATGGGAGGGTTGTGGGTGGGAGGGAAGTTATGGGGGGGGGTAGCCACTGTAATCCAAAAGCTGTACTTTGGAAATTTATATTTGTTAAATAACAGTTTAAAAAAATAAGTAAAGCTAAAAGTAGATCAATTTATAGAAAGCTAACATGTCTAACAAGGCCATTATTTTTTAGTGTCCACATTGTATTTCCTGATAAAAGTCTGCTTCTAGTCATATTTAGGATTAAAAAGGTTTAGTCATCCCTGAGTTTTGATTTTTTTCTTCCTGTAAGCCTGAGGTCTGAGAAAACTTGTCTCCCAATTTTCTTTTCCTCAATTCCACACACGGCTGCATTAAAAAGCGTTCACTTAATTGACTTTCTCCCTTGCTGTCTGTTTCTAAATAAAGAATGTCTATTTTGGGTTCTGCAGGAATGGGCATCCTTTCAAGATAGTCACAGGCCCCCGCCACCCCTTAAATCCCCCCTTCTCCCTCCGGAGCTCACCTGCAAGGCCTGCAAATCCGAGAAGGTCTTATCAGCGATCGTGCGGATGCCATTGCTGTGCAGCATTAGCAACTCCAATTTGCTCAGGCCAGAAAAGTCGGCTTCCGTCAACCTAACTAAGCTGTTGTACCTGAAACAAAAATGTTATTCGAGGCATTAGATGAGCCGTCCACATGTCGCAGCAAAAGCACACACAAAGCCCAAGGCCTCTTTTGTTGTGCTCTGAGGAGATAATTAAATGCTTGAAATCCAACAGATGCCACAGAAGGTTCATCCCCTAAGCAACCCTTCCCGGGCCAGTTACAATGGCCCCTCCTCATTCCTGGAGCTTCTCACACTCCTCATTTTCCAGCCTTCATGGAGGTGCTGTTCCTTCCAGTTGCAATGCCCTTGACTCACACTTTTGTATGAACACTAAAACCCAGCCCCTCACTCTCTCGGGTGGGATCACTGCATCAGTAGAGGTTAAGAAACCTGGGCTCCACCCAGAGTCAATGTTTGGGCCTCTGGTTTAGGGGAGATGGGTAGTCATGAGACCCCAGGTGAAAATCAGCAAACCATGCCTCAGTTTCTTCATCCAAAAAACCATAGATAATAGAATCCACTCCTATGGAGTAATGAGAATTAAATGCATGAACACCAATAGAGTGTTCATCCTGATGCTAGCACACAGTGAGCACTCATGTTAGCTGCTGTTATTAGTGATCATCACCAGGGCACTTCACTTATGCTCTAGAGCAGCTTTTATCAAATCGTATCGATTATGCATCTGTCTTCTCCCCTTCCACTATACTTGGGGCTTACAGAAGTGAATAATGGCTTTTGTTCATCGTTGCATCCCCAGTGCCAACCACTGTGCCCAGCACACAGTGGGTGCTCTATGCTGTCAAAGCACACACTTCTGCATGAACCTTGAAAACACAGTCAGCTTTTGGCATATTTAATCAGGCCTGCATTTAGGCAACTTCAAACGAAAAGACACTAAGGGTCCTTATAAAAGGATAGTGGACTTTTCATATCCTTTATACACAGGCAACTTTAATTGCCCTGTCATCTCTTATGATAGAATCCTCGTTATTGACAGGAGCCATATTTCTTAGGAAAAAAAAAAAAAAGCCGGAATTAAGTTTCCCTCCAATGATAGGCTTTCCAATCTACCAAGAAGGCTTTCAAGTTCTGGAAGAAATTTCTCCCAGCCAAGGATTTCTGGGAATAACTTCCTTGTTGTCCTCAATAAACTACAATTTTCATGAACTCATTTCAGAAGAAAACCATTGTGGAATAATTGTGGTTCATATCTCAAAGTCATGGGTGCTTTCCCAATGTAAGAAGGGGATAAGCCAGGGACCCACACACCCGAAATTGATGCGCTCCACGTTGGGCGGGATGTTGTCCGGGATGAAAGCCAGGTACCGGAATGTGCAGTGCACTTCTGTAGGCACATAGCAGGCACAGCGGCGAGGACAGGCCCTGCCCCCAGGGGTGGCCACCAGGCAAATGACACCGAAGGAGACCAGCAAGCAGGTGACACCATTGCCTTTCACCTTCATCCTGAAAAATCACACCTCAGAGTTAGAAATACAGCCCAAGAAAAGTCCCAGGATGCCACATGGTCACTGTGGGAAGCTGGGAGATCTTGCAAGTGGCCAATTTCATTCATATCTTTTGTGGTAGAACATGCTCCTTACAAAACCATAATATATGTGCTGGCCTCACACTGAGCTTTCTAATCATGCGGGATTGCTCACTGTTGTGGAAATCTCTTCACGGTGTCTCACGTTTTAATGGAAAGCATCAATTCTTACTAATCAGGGATTCATTAAAGGGAAGCTGGAGACAATAATGACGTATTCTGACACCTGATACACAGCTTAGTGTCCTATTTGTACGTTCTTTCAGAGTAACTTTCAAAACACTGATTATAAAAGTAGTAACAAGTGCATTATAGCCTTGGAAACTAAATTAGAAAAAAAAAACTACTTGTAATCGCATGATTCAGACACAATAATTTACATTTTACTGTATGCTCTAGCCTTGAATGTGTAAACTTATGCACACAATATATGTGTATGTATATGCTTAGTTTTATAAAAACATGAGCTTAAATGTTTTATAAACATTTATAAATGATTTTATTTTTCATTTTCATTCAAAAACCTTAAGGACTGTAATAATGCTGTAGCAGGGTGAATCTATTTCTAACACGTCATCAAGTCCTTGCCAAAAAAGACACATTGGACACTTCACTGCCAAGTACAGACCACAAGCAACAGTCACTGACCAGCGGAGAGGCAGGGGACCCCGGATCTGTGCCACAGTGGCCACACTGCCCCCCTGGCAGGCATGATGCTGTCTGCTTAGAAGATCCTTTTTTCTCGTTTCTTGGTCCCTCCTCCTGCTCATGTCTGCCAGGAGAGCGGGGGAAGCATAACCAAGTAAGCAATACGCTCAGCTTGTTAGGAAAATGATATCTGTTCCCCACATGTGGGGCAAGCCCAGGGATGCAAACCCGATTTCCTGAAACTCAGAACATACAGGGCTTACAATAATACCTTCTTTATGCTTTTATAAGAAAAATGACCCACATCATTTATAAACCTCAACGTCCCTTGGAATACAAGTGTTTCTTTTGGATTCTACCAGCAACAATCCTTTAGTTGTAAACTATTAGGAGTAACACAGATGCTAAATTGTTGACCCGCGTGCATGCACACACACGGGGGAGAGAGGGAGGGGAAGAATGAAAGAGAGGAATTGCTATGAAAGTTTAGCCCAAATTATAGTTTATTGTAGGATAGATCACATGAGTTCTTTGGAAGCAGCACTTTCACCTTGTTATCATTAGATCATCTAAGAAACAGTAGGATGGCAGTACTTCTGGGTTCAACCAGAAAATAGAAGTTACTGGTATGCCCACATGAAAGTTATTTAATAGAGAATCCAAAGTATGAAGGAACATATGGATAGTGGATTCACACAAACTCAAAGGCAAAAAAATGCAATGATGAAACAGGAGCTGACAATACCTGAACTCTTCTCTCTCGGTCCTGAATCCTCTTGTGACATAGGGAGAGACAGAAAATCCTCCAAGGAATTGGAAAACTGTCCAAACCCGAGTGAGGCGAAGTTCGTTGTTCCCACAGTGAGCCAGTAGCTTAGTGTCTTGGCTTGCAGCTTAGGAGTGACGCTCTCCAGAGAGCCGGGGAGGCACTTCCACGGCTGCAGAGCGCGCTAGCCCACACCAATCCGGTCCAGAAACTTCCTGATGATTAACGAGGGCTGTGGTGATGGTGGTGTTACAGAAACGAAAGGCAGTTCCTTCCACTGCGGGCTTCAGTTCTCAGAGTCCTCACTTCAATGTACATCCATCACTCCGCTTTGCTCCCAGACTCCAGAAGTTTCTCCTCAGATTGTCTTTTGGACACATCTGTCACCTGTGGCCACAGGCAGGGTCTACGCCCCAGTGCTTACCTTTCATCCGCTTCCTTTTTTTCTGCCTGGCAACAATCAGTTGCTGAAGAAGCAACTTTCTCTGTTTGCTTTCGTCGCTCCTCCCCTTCCGAGCGCCCTCCCCTCACTCCCAACCACCCGGATCTGGATCCCCCGCCGCACCACCCCGCTCCTCGCCCGCCCGACTGGCCCCAGCAGCTGCTCGCTCCATTCCCACGCCCAGACCCGGTCCGCAGCCACGGCTCCCAGCCTTTTCCCGGGACACGATTGGCCCAGCCGCTCACCTCTTGGCCCTGGTGACCAATGGGCTTGAGCCGCCAGCGCCTAGGTCCAGAGCGCGGGGAGTGAGGGCGGCGAGGTGCCGTTGCATCTGCGTCCGCTGAGCCGGGCTCAGAGGTTAGCCCGCCAGGAGTCCGCTTCCGCCTCCTTCTCATTTTTGACTCCTGGGCTTTCTCCAGGCACTTACTGGTTGAGTGGCAGGACGATTTCAGGCGGGGGTAGTTTGTTCGCTTCTGGACGTCCTCCGCCTGTTAACCAGTGAGCCTTTTGGTTAGGGGTTTGCTTTACTCGCAAGCTGTCCCCGATTTTGTGGCTCCCCCAAATTCTGTTTGAAGACAGAGAGCAATAATAATCTGTGATGCCTGCAGGTGAACATTCTGTTTTGCCTAATTGAAGAGACTTCTTAAAAAATTAATGTATTTATATATAATATTTATATATTTAAGGTATACAAGATGAAGTTATAGGATACACAAAGAAAGTAAAATGATTACTATAGTGATTTCCCTAATTGCACATAATACCCCCCTTTCTCTGTCAAGAACAGGTAAAGTCTACTTTAAGCAGGAATCCTGTGCAGTTATTAATGATAGTTCTCATGCTGTACATAAGATCTTTCGTTCATACCACATGGTTCCACTTTGTATCCTAATGACATGTATTTCTCCACCCACCCTCTATCGCTATTTCTATATTTGACTCCTTTTTGGTGCCGTAAGTGTGATCATGCAATAGTTTTCTTCCAAAGTATGGCTTATTCGCACGGCTTAATTTCGTCCAGGTTGGTACCAGGTGGCAGGCTCTCTTTTCTTTAAGGCTGAGTAATATTCTGTTGCACTCAGAGGAATTCCTTTTCTGAAAGGGATTTTCTGGAGTACTGAATTTCATACCACTATTTCTACTTGGATTGCATTCCCCTCTCTCATCTTCACCATCACCATCCTCGGGCAGAGCTGTTTCCCAACCACCCCTACCAATGTGACCACATTTAGTAGCTGCTTGTAATTCTAGATAAGACTTCTGTTACTTTGATCATAAACTCTGGACTAATATAGCCAAAATGACTTGGTTGCATTTCCTGCAGTAATATCACAATAAACTTAATTTTTTTTAAGAGAGAGAGAGAGGGAGGGAGGGAGAGGGGGTGAGGGTATAGAGAGAATATGCTCCAATCAGCTGGTTGATTCCCTAAATGCCAACAATTGCTGGGGCAGGCTGAAGCCTGAAACCATGAACTCAACCTTAATCTATATAGGAATGACTGGAACCCATATCCTTGAGTCACCACCTACTGCCTCCCAGGCTCTGCATTAGCAGAATGCTGTAATAGGAGTGGAGCTGGGACTTGAATCCAGGCTCTCCAATGTGGAATGTGGGCATCCCAGCCGGAGGGTTACCCTCTGAGCAAAATGCCCACTCCCACATTTAAGCTTTGATGAGAACTTGAAATTAGGGTTTTAGGACTGTGGTTCTCAAGATTTGGTCTTAAGAGCAGCAGCACTGGCCTCACCTTGGACCTTGTTAAACATGTAAATTCTCAGGTTCTATCCCAGACCAACTGAACTAGAAACTCTAGGGATGGATCCTAGGAGTCTGAATGTTGGACAAGCCTTCCACACGATTGCAATTCATGTAAAGTTTGAGAATTATTGGCTTAGGGAAATAACTTCTTATAATGGCAGCATATATTTGTGGAAGGTTTTAATGCGTGACCAGTACTATTATAAGCAGCTTACAAGTACCAATTCATTTCATCCTCATAACAGCACACACACACACACACACACAAACCCTAAAAGGAATGTATTCATGACATTATTTTACAGGTAAGGCACATAAAGGAAAGTGACTTGCCCCGGGTTCTGCAGCTTATAAATAGGGAAGCCAAAGCTGGTTGAAATCGAGGCAGTCCAGCTGTGCAGTCTGACGGTGTAGCCACAAAGCAGTGGCTGCTATTTAGCTGAACCTTGATAAAGTGCCACATTTAAGTCACTTATGGTTAGTAATAATGAGTTACCAAGGCAGAGTTACAGAATGAGGCCACTGAATTAGAAGTAACTCTAGCAGTGCATTATAGGAACTTGGGCTTTGGCTCTGCAGAACTGACAAGCTTCTTTAAGTTAAAAATGCCCATTATGAGATCCATACTTGAATGCTGCTTTGAAAATACAGCATAGTATCCAGTCTGTCTTTCTCCCAAAGCTTCTTTGTGACCAACCTCATGGCTTTTATTCTTTAAGCCAATGTCTAACCCCATTCTGAACTTTCAGACCTCAACTAGGATGAGCCAAAAAAAAAAAAAATGACCGTGACATGTTTTATTCTTTATTTTTCACAGGTTAGTTGCTTGGGGCCATTTTATTGCAACAAGTTTTAAAGAGAACTCCCGTGAGAAATGTCTACTTGTCTTAAGAATTTTTATGAAAGGAATTTATTTCTACAAATGCTTTGTATTAGAGTTTATTTTCTTTTTAATTAATCTGCCATAATTATTAGAAACTCTGAAAGCCATGTTGGCACTAATTCTACTTCAACTTGCCCTACTTGATATTTCTAATAATTGTCATTCACTACTTTTATAGAGTATGTGTGTACCAGACACTTTATATGTGCTTCCAATTCTCAGAAATATTCTGATAAGGTAGATGCTAAGACTATATCCATTTTTTAAGATAAGATTGCTTAGAATAAAGGGTATTAAATAATTATGAGCAAGAACTATAATACTGAATCAGTTTTGCAGCTGTGAGGCTCATGCCCTGAAGCTCCACATTTTCCAGCCTCCTCCTACTCTGGTCTGTTCTATAAAATTTCTGAGTGTGCAGCACACCAACCATGAGAATTTCACCATTCTTCTTTCTCACCATACTTGGTGCAATTTACAAATCAACTTTACCTTTGAATCAGACTTCATTTGAGATTTACAAGAAATATGTGAAATTATAGTAGCTATATTTTATAAATGAAAAAGCTGAGGTTGACTAAATGTTTGATCTGCTAAGGACTGTTAATCTTTACTCCTAAACCTGTTTGCTGGACTAAGGTCATTTACCCACAGTTGCAGGATGCATTGCCACTTAAATACCAGGAAAACTATAGTGAGAGGTAACTTAAGTTGTTCCCGTTTCTTTCTTTACTAAGCCTTGCCACGAAAAGTATTGTGGTAAATTCACAGGTTTGATGCTTTTTTCAGTGAACATAATGATAAATATAACGTCTTCCCCACCCTTTACATCACCCCCAGGAATTATATATTTCCCTTCATGTGTACATCATTGACATAATCTTTTGTCTTGTTTTGCATTTACATGTTTCTTACTCTACATCCTCAGTATGTCAGCCATACCACCAATCACCTCCCCTCCTAAAGCAGAGCAGTTCATATACCCACAAATCAAGTCCAAGTAGTTCCAAATCATAGATCACTTGAAAACTGTAGCAACCTTTGATCTTGAAAACTCACTCAACAGGTACATGCCAAAATTGTTCTCTCATATATATATTATATATTATTATATATTACACATATATGTAATTTATAATTGGCACAATTATTATATCATAAAGGTTCATAATTTTCATAGTAATTAATAAAACAAGTCATCCACTTTGTTATGCCAACAGCAATTAAGTACATAAAGTACAAAGACTTCATGGAAAAATGGTGCAAAAAATTTTGGAATCTATGCATACATATAGACTAAATTCTCTGCCATTCCTTTTATGAAGTTATAAGCCTTGTTGAATAAATGGCCTGAAGAGAAATAATGCAGAAAAAGTTACAGAAAGAAATCAGTACCAGCCCTACTCCAAAATTTAGTTATAGCTCAATGAACCGAAGCCAAACTGTAGACTTCGACACACAAACAAATAAACAATAGGATTTCAAACCTGTAACCTTTAAGCGTATCCAAAAAACCATTTAAGGAGACAGTTTTCAAAGGTTTAGAGACAATTTGAAGCTATTCCATGGTCCTCTTATGAACTCAACTCATAGGAAGTAAAAAAACTACTGAGGAGGCCTTCAGATGATGAATGAATGTGGCTGTGAGGAAAAGAAAGATGGTCTGTATGAATAGGTATTTAGAAATCTGAACTGTTTAGATGGAGTGATAAATCTTGCATTTTTTCGTTGATAATGTTCAAGGATCCCAGGAAAGCTAGAAATGACAGATGAGAGTGAGAACCCGATTTAGAGGCAGACCAGAGAGAAAGCAGAAGCAGTGCCATGGGGACAAGGAGCCAGAGTTGTCAAGAATGTGGAAATAGGCATCTATAGAGCAGCTTTGCTGGGTTTGATAGAATACTCTGGTCCCTGTAAATGCTTCAGATTATAACAGATATGGTATCAAAGGCTGTCACTGGTAGATGTTTACAGAATTTAATATGATTTCTTAAGCATGGATAGAAGATGTGTTGAAAAACCCCCAGAACTCTTGCAGTTTTTGTTTTGCTTTTGAGATAAGGTATCAAAAATTGTTCAAAGGTGAATGAGCTATGTGGGAAGAGGAGTAGTTAGGATTTCAAGAATATTTTCTAAGAACAGGCTAGAGCTGCAAGCACAAGGGGAGGATTCAAATGCTTTGTAGTCAACTTTGCTAACCACCTTAGAAGTTGATTTCAGAGGAGGAACAACCACCAAATGGCTTCTGAGGTCAGCCACTGGGGAAGAGTAGCAAAGGAATCAAAGACCATAATTATGGGTAGAACACACACAGCGTCTGACCAGGTTATCAACCATGATATGAAGCTTCCATACCATGGAAGTATTCTGGCTGTTGAGTTTTGCAGTAGGATGCTTTTATTGTACTGACACAACTGGTAGGAATCTCAAGAACCACATCCTTCTG